TGTGTGTGTGTGTGTGTGTGTGTGTGTGTGTGTGTGTGTGTGTGTGTATGTGCTGTATTATGCTAGAGTGTGGTTGTGTGTAGCAATGTGAGTGGACTGAGTGCCAGTGAAGTGTCTTCTCAGATCAACATGACATCAGTCTTTACTACCGTCAGTAGCAATATGGGAACATTGCACACGGTAAGTGACCACTTTTATTTCTTTTCCTTTTTTTCGTTTTGGAAGGTGTGGCTGGTGCGGCCATGGCCGTACCAGTGTTTGCAAATTCCAGCTTCATAGATTGTCCGTGTATGATCAATTATGTGGAAAGCACTGAACAACTATCCTCGTCAGGGGCTGGTCTCCATTCTAGGGGTTGGGGGGGGGGGGGGTTGGGGGTTGCACGACTGCATATGTGTAGGATGGTTGGTACATGTTATTCATGGTAATTATGTGCTTGCTGAACCTAGGTCCAACATTTTTAGGGGGGGGGGGGGGCACGTGCCCCTTGACCCATTGCGGCTACGCGCCTGCTCTTTCTCTCCTAAACTGTTCTCTATGTGCAGTAAGAACTACTCTGCTAACTACATGCAATGGACATGTATCTGTCAATATCGGCATTTCATAGTGTAACTGGAACAGCCAGGTGCAATGCAGCATAGTGCTAGAGATTCATCCTCCCGTGAATCAAAGCCGGGCCTGGGTAAATGATCGGCCCTGCAGTCGGCCTGGGCCCATAGCACCCCTCAGGAGCTGGCTCCGGGCCTGGAAGGATAGAAGCCTGTATTCAGCTTTTGTTCTCCGACTCGAAATACAACAGCAGGAGTATAGTTTTCAAGATGCACCATCGGCCTATAAGCCTAGCAGTTATCTTTAGTGTTGTCATACGTGTAAGCAGTGAGTGGACACAAAGGTTATACTCAGAGTAGTGTTCACATACATAGAAATACCTGATTTGAATAGAAATACCTGATTTCAATAGAAATACCTGATTTCAATAGAAATACCTGATTTCAATAGAAATACCTGATTTCAATAGAAATACCTGATTTCAATAGAAATACCTGATTTGAATAGAAATACCTGGTTTGAATAGAAATACCTGATTTGAATAGAAATACCTGATTTGAATAGAAATACCTGATTTGAATAGAAATACCTGATTTGAATAGAAATACCTGATTTGAATAGAAATACCTGATTTGAATAGAAATACCTGATTTGAATAGAAATACCTGATTTGAATAGAAATACCTGATTAGAATAGAAATACCTGATTTAAATAGAAATACCTGATTTGAATAGAAATACCTGATTAGAATAGAAATACCTGATTTAAATAGAAATACCTGATTTGAATAGAAATACCTGATTAGAATAGAAATACCTGATTTGAATAGAAATACCTGATTTGAATAGAAATACCTGATTTAAATAGAAATACCTGATTTGAATAGAAATACCTGATTTGAATAGAAATACCTGATTTGAATAGAAATACCTGATTTGAATAGAAATACCTGATTTGAATAGAAATACCTGATTTGAATAGAAATACCTGATTAGAATAGAAATACCTGATTTAAATAGAAATACCTGATTTGAATAGAAATACCTGATTAGAATAGAAATACCTGATTTAAATAGAAATACCTGATTTGAATAGAAATACCTGATTAGAATAGAAATACCTGATTTGAATAGAAATACCTGATTTGAATAGAAATACCTGATTTGAATAGAAATACCTGATTTGAATAGAAATACCTGATTTGAATAGAAATACCTGATTTGAATAGAAATACCTGATTTGAATAGAAATACCTGATTTGAATAGAAATACCTGATTTGAATAGAAATACCTGATTTAAATAGAAATACCTGATTTGAATAGAAATACCTGATTTGAATAGAAATACCTGATTTGAATAGAAATACCTGATTTGAATAGAAATACCTGATTTGAATAGAAATACCTGATTTGAATAGAAATACCTGATTTGAATAGAAATACCTGATTTGAATAGAAATACCTGATTTGAATAGAAATACCTGATTTGAATAGAAATACCTGATTTGAATAGAAATACCTGATTTGAATAGAAATACCTGATTTGAATAGAAATACCTGATTTGAATAGAAATACCTGGTTTGAATAGAAATACCTGATTTGAATAGAAATACCTGATTTGAATAGAAATACCTGATTTGAATAGAAATACCTGATTTGAATAGAAATACCTGATTTGAATAGAAATACCTGATTTGAATAGAAATACCTGATTTGAATAGAAATACCTGATTTGAATAGAAATACCTGATTTGAATAGAAATACCTGATTTGAATAGAAATACCTGATTTGAATAGAAATACCTGATTTGAATAGAAATACCTGATTTGAATAGAAATACCTGATTTGAATAGAAATACCTGATTTGAATAGAAATACCTGATTTGAATAGAAATACCTGGTTTGAATAGAAATACCTGATTTGAATAGAAATACCTGATTTGAATAG